ACACGTGCAATTCTACACTTGTGATATAGCTATAAAATGCTACACTGCAAAGTCAAGAGGCAGCCAATTTAAAGTACTCTGTGATAGAAGCAACTTTCTCCCTTCTACCCTGGAGTGGGATACTGAATTTTAATTTGGCAACCCACTATAATCTACTCAATGGAAGTCATACATCTGACAACATTTTCCATTTCTTTACAGTGCCTTGACTACTAAGTCAAGAGTCCATTTTTTAAAATGTGCAAATGCAATTTAAATTAGTAACACATTCTCCTTAACAAAGACACTCACTCACGCTGTATAGAGTGAGGCTAATGAAGAACTGAGAGTTTAAAGACATACAAATAGCTAGGAGAGTTCAATTCCACGGAATGCCTTCTCCGCTATGGAAGGCTCCAATCCCAGTGGCTTCTGAGTAGCCAGTGCCCTGCTGGGCTTTTGCTAGCAGGGAGCGAGGAGAGCAGAGGTGTTTTCTGCGGTTCTGTCTTCCTTTACACTTTTTCCTCTAGACAGGCCTTTTGTACCAGCAGCAGCAGCTCCTAGAGTGATTCATAAAATGAACTGGATTTTTGTTTTAACAGCCAAACAAGCCTGGCTAGTCATGGGCATTTTCTGCTACCTTGACTAGAGACGGGTAGGGGTGCTTTTGTTGCCTCTCCTCAGGCCCTGCTAACATGAAAAGTATAAATCTTTATATTTTTAGTGTCACAATGGAATCAGTCACATGGATTAACTTGATACTGGAGACACACAACACTTTTTTATTGCTTCAGAACATCTGGCTGATTATTTCAGTGCATTCCATTTCCTGCTTAGTTTACTCTGCATGAAAAAAGGGGAGGCAAAAAATATTTTCCTGTTCCTGCTTTCTGCACAAATTGCAACCTTAAAAATTTATAACATTCATGTGATGGTGCTTCTTGCATAGTCAGCATAATGGCCTACATCCTGCAGAGAGAGAGGTTTGATTCTGCTTTGAAAAGCAATCATGAGCTTTAAAAGTGTGAATTTGTTCACTCAACACTAATGCTTTCTGCCTGCAATTTTGCTAAAGCCTTTGTGAGCAAAGTGCTAGCTGTTCTTGTAAGCACCTCTAAGAACCATATTCCTAAGCAATGAGCCTCTGATGGCATTTCACTTCTTCAGAGATCCTTGTTCTATTTCAGCTGTTGGAAATCTTAAATGGTTTACTAATAGGAAACCACACATTCTGTAACTCTATCGTACCTGGTGGTGTAGTGGAACCAGAGCTTGTAGGAACACAGCACCAACATTTTTTGATTAGCAAGAACACTTACACAATATGCCACTTCCCTGCTCAGAATTTCCTGCTCTTTCTGAGCTTAGATGTGGTGTTCACAATTGTTGGGGATGGGAGGAGATGAATCTTCCTTGGGCAGATAAAACCTATTTGTTAAATAAGAGACCTGCTTCTGGTGGAGACAAGGATTGCTAGTAATTTTTTGCCGAGACAGATCAACACAACTGCCTGAATTCCTGGATCCTCCAGAAGAGGAGGTTAATCCCCCTCTCCCCAGCTACAAAGACTGACATCATGTGTATCTCAACTAAAAAAATATACCACTTTCCTATTGATCAGACAAGTGAAACATCTGCTGAAGCAAAAAATATGGTGTTCCAACAATCACATCTTTGACTTTTCTTTTATAAGCATGATCATGGGGAGCAAATCAAGCCAGTTTGCCCTGAGTGTTCAATACTCAAAGCTCAAGTTGATTTTTGGAGAGGGCTTTCACAGCAAGGGAAACAGAAGTAAATCTGTTTCTCTGCCTTAACTTCTCAGCAGTGAAGAGACTGTCCCTCCATCAAGTCTGGACCACAGATCCATAGAAGGATCCTTGATTATTTGCCAAAGTACTCTGGATGTCTACCAAAATAAGTGTGGGCCAGAAATGGATGCACCACAGATTTAACTCCTCCCTACCACCCTCTTTTCTTTTAGATGCAGACATGTTGCAACAGGAAAGGCTTGTAATGTGTTCTAAAGCAAGGACTTCCATAGGCCTTTCACACTGCCATAAGCAACAGATGCTGGGCATCATGGGAAATGTATTTATTGTCCATGGTTCCTGACACTGTGGATGTATCATGAATGTTTATACCAGTTGTTGGGAAAATTTGGATAAATCCTGTCAGAAAAACATTACTTCTGTGTGCTGTTGCATTGTGGGATCAAATCCTGTCTTCCTTCTCAAAACCAAGCTGTCACTGTTTAAAATGGCATTCCCCCGTTCCTTTCTCTCACCTTTAGCTGTAAGCTACAATAGACAGGCCATTTAGTCCAAATTTACATTGTATACCTTCACAATGATTAAATAGTCATTGTTGGAATTCAGTTTACAAGGAAGTATATTTTGATAGCCCAGAGGCTCCATGTGCCCTGGCCAATTCAGAATGTCTACAAGTAGATAAGAGTCTTGAGTTCATGCATAGTTTCAGTAGCTTGAATTTACTTGTCTAAGCAGACCTGGAGATGGGTTCAAGCTACTGAACTAAAGTGTAAATACAGCCAATTAGAAATATTGTAATTTTATTGTTACTGTATGATTGACTGACATTTCTTTATCTGTTCTGTTCTGTGATGACCTCAGAATCTTATTGTAATCTCTGCATTCTGTCATCAATTGCCCTGTACCTGTGTACCTATAAATGCCCTGTAATGGTATTGAAGCTTTGCAGCAGAGTTCATCTTTGCCTGCCCGGTAACGCATGCATTATTGTGAGTACCGTGGGAACTTTGGGGTAAAACAATAAAGCCTCAGATGGTCTGGATGCTTGATCTTTCCCACAAACCCGTGTTTTATTTCCTCTTCTCAAATTGAGATTCCGGGATTCTGACACAGTGCAGAACCTGTAAATGCCAGCTGAACTGATTGCTGCTGCACATACCTGAGGACTTAAATTGTGAGACCCTGATGGAGCGCTGAAGACCTATTGTCACTATCCTCACCAAAGTAATTAAAAAAAAAAGAATAGTAAGAGGAAGGAGTTCATTTTATTTGTTTGTTTGTTTCCAGACTTATTGTCCATTACATCAGTCCAGAGATCTTTTGGTACATCAGCCCAAAGGCCCTTCTAGAGGTAGAAGGCCAAAATTGACCTTTTAAAATGTTTATTTCTGCATTATGTTTTGAATTCATCCAATTCTTATTGGATATTATATAGAATCTGCTGAAAACCTTATCCTGGAATACTGAGGATGGGATAGAGAACAAAACCATTTGAAGAAAACAAACAAAAAAAATCCCTTTGTGTCTTACCACTATTTCCAGGCAATTCTAAAATTTTTTAAAGTTTTGGGTCATGGTAGTAATACATTTCTTGAAAGTACCATATAGCAAAATAGCACCAGAACCACATTTTAAAAAATATTTTAAAGCATGATCTTAACCATCTGGTGACTGACAAGAAACACTTGATAAGACAGGTTAATAACAGAAATAAAAACGGATATTATGTGTGGGTAGTCAGGTCAAAGCCATTTAACATGTTGCAAAAAGGTCCCATATCTGACTGAGTGTTCTATTCATATAAGCAGGATAAATAGATGTTTATTGAGGTCGGTTAAGGAGGAACTGTAGAAACACCCATACATGAAAGTGCATAAACAGAGATAGCTGCTTGTGGCCAAGAGTGATGCATCCGCTGGCTTACAAAATGAAAGGTCTACTCAGAGCCATCAGAAAGCTCAAGGGCAATCATTCCTCCTCCACCCATGCAAAGGCTTCAAGCAAGATCCAGGTTCTGAAGGAAGACAAATGCAGCGCAAGAACACAAATCCACTTCTCCGCCTGCCTATTTTTATTGAAGCAGCAAAAGATGCAGTGAGGCAATCCAGCCACCAAACAGATGAGGCCATAGTTAATGTGTGTGCCCTTATCTGCATTCTGCTGAAAGCACTTGCTGGCGTGAGAGGTTTTCCCCGAAAACCACCACACCACCAAGCCTTACTGCCATTGGCCTGGAAGTCGTTACACTGGCCCACTGCAACTCATTTGAGCAGACGTGTCGCTCACAATGGACACTGCCCAGTGTTGGGGCCTTGGTCCTACACAACCATACAGTTTAGTATTCTTTAGTATTCTGACCCAAATCTTTAAGATCCGTGTATTTCACACACAGGTTATAATAGAGGAAACCTATTTAGGACAGGGATCCTCAACCTTTTGGGGAAGGTGGGTACATTTGGAACTCTGAAAGCATCATGAACACTTTCAGTGAATGACAGTTGTGAAAAAGGGGCTTGTCTCTCCAGGGAATGGACATACTGGTGAGTACCACTAATCACAATCCCCACATACACACTCATTTCCCAGGAGGCAGATTGTGGGACTAAAAATACAGAAACATGCCTAAGAATCTGAGCACCAGACAGAGTTGTATTCTGAATTTCAAAACTTGAAACCATTCATGTTAACCCAAATAAAGATGATGCTGGCTGGTTGGCAGCACTTCACTTTGCAGCAAGCCTATTTCCCATTTTAATTTGTAAAGATCCTAAAAATAAAATAAAAATCAGTAAGGGCAAGGAGGTTGGCAAGCACCAAGAGAAGAGTTTGTGGTCCTGTTATGTCTTTGGGCATGAGACTTCAGCACTAGGTTCTAACATTTAATACAGAATTGCTGGCTTCTAATAATTACCAACTTAGCCTATTCCTGAAAGTTTTGAAAACTGCATACCTTTTTGAATTTTCTTCCCTTTTCCTTCTATGTCTGTGACAGTATTAAGCTAACATTTAACTTCTTTCTATTATTACTTGCATTTCCTTAGAGGTACTAATAGCAAGAGCTCTCTTGCTATCCTAGCACAGAAAAGGAGCATTGCTTTGATTATTCAACCAAAGGATTAAAAATTATGTTTTAGCAACACCACAGAGCTGCTCCAGCATGCTCAGCAAGACACCCCGTGCTTCAACCAGGCCACAGAAAGAGACTTTTGATGTTTAACTCAATATCTATTCATAAACATTCTTGCTTACTGGTTCCCGGCCATCCATTGCCTCCATCCACAGCCTTCGGTCTTCTTCAGAAAGTGCCTGCATTGTGATCACTCCAGGCCTGCAGAGATGAATGGAATGGTGCTGTGAATAACAGGCCTGAAAAGTTGAAATTGCAAACGCAGAGGGCAAAGCAGGCAGTGTCAGCAAACTGCTGCAATACATGCACCCCTAGGTCCAACTCAGGCTTAAGAACAAATGTGGGAAGACACACATTTCCATTAAAAAATAAGGGGTCAAACTGGGATGTCCTTAACTATTTTTTCTCTCCCTTATTCACTTAGATAGGTCTCTATGGTAAAGATTCCAAGCAACCTTGGTCAGGCTTCAAAAATTTGCATGGCAGTACATCCAAATAAAAATGAATGGGCCTTGGCAAACCTAGATACTCAAATGTACAACCTGAATCTTGCAAATGGAAAATCAATGCAAAACTCTCACTCAGTGAAATTGGTGGACTTCACATGTCTTCGCATTTCTATTCTATTGTCTGACTGGGCAAGTACTCAGGGCCACTTCATACTTAATATTTTGTTTTAATGTGAAAGTTCAAGCTGTCATGGACCACATATATGCATTACATTAAAATGCGTGAACAGGGCAATGCTGTCATAACAGTGGTTCCTATGACTACAGCAAGAGTGGAAAACCTGTATTTATCCAGATGTCTGGCCTACCATCCTTCAGTCCAACTTGTGGACTTCCTAGAAGCAACTGGCTGGCTGCAGTGGGAAACACGATGATGGGCTAAGATATGCCTTTGTTCTCATCCAGCAACATTTTTCTTAGGTACTTTATGATATATAAACCACTTAGAGACAATGTTTAGATATGCAATAAAATCTGTGTTTCCCCATCACCTGTATTTATGTAAGTTTCTATTTTTGTGATAGTAAATAAAAACATTCAAAACACACACAATATATTCCAACTTTCAGACTTGAAAAGGGGTCTTCAAGAGAGAATTCTGACCCCCCCCCCCCATGCACACATACTGCTTTCCAGAAAAAAACAATCTGGTGTAAGTAGTTCATGCTCACAGATCTCAAAAAAGGTCACATGGGTCATCAGTTGTAATTGTGAGCTGCCCAGAGGCACTGTGGCACAACTGGGTGGCATACAAATGTTTTAAATAAACAAATAATCAACCTCTATTTCTCATTGAGGTTCACATCATTCATAATGTTCTATTTCTTATCAACGATCACACTATTCAAAAATTTCTGTTCCATAAGGAAGGTCATCAGCAGATTCCATGTTATCTACTATAAAAAAAAAGACTGATAATACCGAAGACTGCAAGAATCTGTGCCATCAGGAAGGAAAAATGCATGAACACACACCTAAAACTAAAAGCTGCAATGAGGCCAACTCTAAATACTCCACATGAGTAATGGCCCCTCAGTGTCAGCAGAAAATCACACATATCACAGATACTAACATTTGGCCTCTGCACCAGGCTGCAAATAATAAAGATGCAACAGAGAAAGAGCTTAAAAATTCTAAATTTTAATCCTGTGGCATCAGAAAAGGCCACTCAGATGGCAAATACATAATAATTATGTGCACATACGCTCACAGAATTTCCCCAGGAAAAGACACAAGCTGTTCAGACTTGCGCCACATGTAGACCCGAATAATCCAGACATATTGTGTGTTATTTTTGTTAATCTCTCAGTGCAGAAAATCACTTGATACTTATAGGATTAGCATTCTGGAAAAATATAACCCGAGAACACCACTTAATCTTCAATCTATTTGGAATATTGTACTGAAAATTAACTCCAAATGCTGTCTTTCCCCCAACTACCCCAGAAGAAAAGTCCCTCTCTAGAATACCAACTTAATTGTAGATGAGATCATGCCAGACACTCTTTGCCAAAAAAAGGAAAAGAAATAGATGGCTTTAGCAGCGGATTAGACAAATGGAGAACACAGTTGTCAATGTCTTTATCGCATATTTATCATGAACAACAATGGAAGAACAACCTCATGTCCACTTTGTGGTCTTCTCAAAGACATCCAGTTAGCCATTGTGTGCTGGGCTAGCCAGGCCTTTGGGATGCTCTATTGGGGCTTTTTTATGCTCTCAAATTACGGCAAATCTCTTCTGAATGTTCAGATCATTTTTATCTGATGCTGAACACAAATGAGGCAATGATAAGATATCGGGGGCTCACAGGACACCGCAAGTGGGAAGGGGAAACATATTGTCTAATTCCGCTGTCAAAAGTATTTCTATCAGCCAAACATCTTAGTTGGCTTTCTCCCGAAGATTTTGGCCAAATGTTAAAAATCAAGGAAGTTAAATAATCTGAAGGAGCACTGCACAATCAATGAGCATGTTTACCTTTCAACCCATATTTTATTTTCACTTGTAATGTATCTACAAAGGAATATAACAAATAAGTGTATTTTATCAGGCAAAATACCTAGTATTAACAGGATACATTCCAGTATCAGTAGCAAAATCACATCAATAGCAAAAGACAGCGCTATCAGTTAGGAAAACTTGACAACCATTGTGATTTTATGAAAGCCTTCAATTAGGTTCTTAGAAAACTTTGCATATCCTGTAAAGAGAGTCATCAATCTTCTCTATCCATCTGAAATGTATTTCCCACATGATTGTACTTCTTTGTAGTATTGAACTAATTTTACAAATAAAGATGGCAACACATGCTAGTGCCATGGTATTTGAAAGGCTTACAGAAGAAACCCTTAAAACAAGAATGGGAAACTTGTCCCCCCTTGAACTACAAATATCATCATCTCTCATCACTGGCTATGCTATCAAGGGCTGATGGGATTGCAGCCAACTATGTCTGGAGGGCCACATGTTCCTCTCCCTGCATCAAAAATGCAATGCAAGGAAGAAGTATTAGCCAGAGGTCTGAGCTTTCTGTGTAAGGGAAGGATCAGCCGCATATTTCCTTTCAAATATTACTTCTCTCTCCTCCTGCTGGTTCATACATTGCAAGTGACTGGAATTTCAAGTTTCTAGAAAGAAGGAGCATTTTAATTCAAACCTTAGTTGTACTCCAGGTTTTGAAAATGAAAATCGCTTATGAGTAGGTGTATGAGCTGCATCTCACCTCTTTAAAACAGAGAAGACAAGAGGAGCAAACCTAGTTTATTTCTTCTTTCAAAACCATCTGCAAAGTCTAAATGCTGACAAAGGTATGCAGCAGCAGAAATGAACAGAGGACATTTAGAATCATTCTAACAATCAACATGTTCTCTATGCTGAACCCTATGCTGTGGTGTAAGGTAGCCTTTAAACCCATTGTCTCTTCGCCAGCCATCAAGATACTCTGCCAATTTTATTTTTAGCTTGAGACTTAGTGTGTCCTTTTCGCTATCACCCACGAAGACTGCAGCTGAATTATATTTACCACCTATTGCTGTGGTGACAACTCACCCACAATTCTCCATCATCCCACTCCCAGGGAATGACCCTCCAGATAGGAATAGCCCTTTATACATCTCTAGAGCACAAGTGTGCTTGTGGAGGGAGTGGGGAGGCAACCGTGCAGGTTAAGTTTACAAGGCATTAGCCATAACATGATAATTTCAAGATTTCATTTGCCTATAAAGGTCACTGGAAATGTGACACAGCAAAAGAACAGGTACAGGTTGTATTGCATTTGACCAGTACAGAGCTCATCAAAAGGGGAAAAATGAATATCTAACAAAGCTGAAGAATCAAAGGGAGAATGGGAGGAAATTGTGAACTTCTGTTCAATGTGCTTTCAGACTTCTTTTTCTCAAGAGCAGGGATATTAAAAGAGATTTTGTGGAGACTGTGGGAAGGAGTTACATTGGATGCTTGTTCGGAAAATGCAGGATGTTCACGTCCTCTTGCTTCTGCCACTATGTACACTCTATACCTCATCCATCCCTGGCCTATTGTGCTTCCTGTGACTTTGCTAACAATTGAACAGAAGATAAACGAACAACTATTAAACTGCTTTTCATTCTTAATACTGTCCTGTATTACTGACATCTGCTCAGTTCTGTCGTTAGGGGAATCTGTATGGCATATGCCATTTTCATACAAGTTACCACAATGGAATGGTGAGGGAATCATTTACCTTCCCCTGACCCAAATGTGAACATCCTGCTTCACAATGCCTATCATTTTGAAAATTTCTTAAGTAGGGCCACTTCTGTGCTGTAATATCTTCTCCATAGCAACTGTCCATAAAACATAAGGATATCAGCAAGATCTGGAAAACCCAAACTGTAAAGCCTGCTCTTGCACAAAGATCTCAGTACCTATTCATCTGAAACATGATGGGTTCGATTACCTCTGAAGGAGCAACTAATCCTCCAATTTCAGCTCATTCTCCCAAAAACTTACTAGTTCCCTTTTTTAAGGGTTTAAAATTGTGAAGCATAAAATGCCCTGTATCTGATATGATTACTTCATGCTCAGTAGTCATAATCACTTCATAAGGGGTAGTAGGCCTGCAAATTGAATCCAATTCTGATAAACAAAGTTATTTTTTTACTGAATTTCATTGACAGTCAATGGGAGATGTAAAGATTTTAATTTCTGAATTAAAATTTGGGTCTGGATCAGTTGAAGCTGCAGCCTCCAAATCTGTCCAAGCTGCTCTGTCCAGAATGGGGCCTGAAATGAATTTTGTGTTTGATTCACTTAATACTGGAACTTTGTGGCAACAAAGGACATGCCAGTAGCTGGGGTAACATCCCAAAGCTGGCAGAGTCATCTTCGGGATTCTGCCCAAAGGAACTTCAAAGGAACTTCAAGTCATGTACTACACACGAACACCCTTGAGTTAGGATTAGCAGTGGTTAACATAAGAACATGTACAATAAATGATCCCCAATTATGGACAGAGGAAAAAGTGGGAGAAAAGGTTCACATGTGGGAAATACAAAGTGTGAACTTGTGACCTGTTCACAATCCTGGTTAAGGAATGATAATTTCCAAGATGTTGACACCTGCACCAGGTATATAAGTAATACCAACTACAGGCACTGAAGATCATGACAAAAGAAGAGGTTAGAAACTATGCATTTTAAAATACAATCTAAGTTATATGAGGAAACTTTCTCTCTGTTCTTCACAACTGAGAACTAAAAAATTATTTCCTAAAGCAGGAGTCTCCCACTTTTCTTGGAGAATGGGTACATTTTGCAAAATAGGTGTGAACAAATGGCTGCCACGATGGACACAAAAAGTGTATTTACCAGAAGGTAAACAGGTGACACGCACTGAAAGTAACCAGGTCAAGAATTTAAGTACAAGGAAAGATGGGTTCTGACTTCCAAAACACGAAACCACTCTTATGAACCCAAATAAAGAGGGTGTTGGAGGGCAGCACTTACTTTGCATGATAGCTGCATCCCCATTAAACCATTTTAATTACAAATATCCTAAGAAAATAGAAGTGAGAAGGAGCAGGCAGCCTGGTGGCGCCAGCTTGGAGACACCAATCCTAAGGGAAATTAACATTTTTATGTGATGCAAATGTGCTGTCCAAATTTATTTGCAGCCTCCTACAAAAGGAGGACAGGGTCCGCAGCTTGGGAGTGCTCCTTGACCCGGAGCTGTCCTTGAAAGCTCAAGTGACTGTGGTGGCGAGGAGCGCTTTTCTTCAACTTCGGCTAATCTATCAGCTGCGCCCTTACCTGGAGGAAGACTGCCTAGCGACAGTGACACATGCATTGGTTACTTCCAAGTTGGATTTCTGTAATGCGCTCTACGTGGGGCTGCCCCTGAAGACAGTCCGGATCCTTCATATGGTGCAAAACAGAGCAGCCAGGTTGCTGATGAGGACTGGGCATTCTCACATAACCCCAGTCCTCTACCAGCTTCACTGGCTTCCCATCGAAGTCCGGGCTCAATTCAAGGTGGTGGTTATTACCTATAAAGCCCTTAATGGCTTGGGACCAGGATACCTGAAGGAACGCCTTCTTCCGTATTTGCCCGCCCGCCCCTTGAGATTGGCAGCAGAGGCTCTCCTCTGGGAACCCTCCATGAAAGATATTAGGAGGCAAAGTACCCAGAGGGCTATCTCTGCGGTGGCACCCCGTCTATGGAATGCGCTTCCCAGAGAGGTCCGCCTGGCGCCGTCGTTATTTGTTTTTCGGCACCAGGTTAAGACCTTTTTATTCCAGCGATATTTTAATAAATTTTAATATTGTCTTTTCTATGTTTTTAACTGCAGCCAGTGTGGGTCGGGAATTTATTTATGTTATATTTTATGCTGCAAGCCGTCCTGAGGCTTTTTACGAACAGGACAGCATATAAATATTTTAAATAAATACATACATACATACAAAAACTACACTCTGAAGACTGATGACTTACCTCCCAGGTGGGTGACTATATATAATGAGGTTAAGACTGAGAACAGAATATACTGAACAATATCACTTGCTGTGAAAATGTATTAATTTTCACATTGATTTTAAAAAGCTGAAAGGAAAGACACATGGTATCTTTTTACAACCCAATTCCACAATATATTTCCATTTAACTCCAACAGCAGTTTTCCTTATGTGCAACATGTGTGGGCAGGACTTATTTCCCAGCTTAATCAAACACTAATAAAACACACAGCACCGCCATCTGCAGGCTAAACCACAAACCTTTAAACCCTAAATGGCTGAATTATTATTTGGCTTATAAACAATCTCAGTGTATTATTCAAGCTAGAACAGAAACAGACATGTTAATACTCCCTCAGCAAGGTTTTAAGGATTCTGAAGCACTCATCCAGAGAAGATGTTGTGTTTGAAAAAAGAAAGCTTCTATGCAAGAGAATGGCATGTACAAGTTACATAGACACAGTTCAAGGAAATGCATTAACCCCAATGTTTATGGGAATTACATCATTGGCAAGCTGTCTGCATTCCTCTACAGCCTAGCCTATGGCTGTATAGGACATACACAGGGATGCACAACAATTCCACACTCATACAAAAGTGTAAGGAAAGAAGGTGATTGCTGATCACAACAAAGGTGTCTGCTTTTGTGCAAGTTCCTTTGCTGCACCCCACCAGCTATAAGGAAAAGCTTGTTCTCCCCATTTTATCACAAATGATTCAGCCACAGATGCAGAAGCGGTTGGGTCATATGTTTGTCTGTGAAAAGATTCTTTCAGTTCTCTGATTTCAGGACACTGTCCCTCTTTTCCCATTTATTTATACAAAACAATTCACATAAAAGAAATTTTAACCAACAAATCAAATTAAAATCAATTAGGGGGTAATTTTCATTTGGATGGATTCAGGTAAAAGTATACTTGATCCAATTTTTGTTACAGCATATTGCTGCAAGAAGTTTTTTTTTCTTAAAATTTATCTTAAAAATATGCTACATTGTGCTCATTTACAGAAATGTCATGAAAAGACTTATAATTTAATAAATTAAAAGGTATGTGAAAATCAGCTAAAAAACTTACAAATGTAAAAGACACTAACTTTAAACAACCAAACTGTTCGTTATATTTCCAGCAAAATTCCCCAAATGCAAAAAAAAAAAAAAAATGGCCAAGTTTGAACACTTGCCCAAGAGTACCTTCTATCCTGTCTTCCAGATATAATGTGCCAAGGAAATGCAAGGTATTTGAAAACAAAGCTGAACTGTAGTAAGAATTTAATTCGGTGACATTGATGGTTACTTTGGGAGGAAAAAACTTCCAAACTACATGATTTGTGGTTAAGAAGAATATATTTGAGAGTTAACATAAGGTAACAGTCACTGTATCAAGGGATAATTGTGAGCACAACATTATCCCCATTCAGGCAGTTGGTCCTGCACAGACTCAATGTGTGCCTGGGGCCATGCCAAACAATCATGTACGCCTGTGTTGTATGCACTAGCTACCCCGTCCCTAGAACATATGTGAACATTGTGTGTGCTTGCAGGGACACAGGAGTTGCATAAGGGCTCCTACACAGGCCTGAGTCCCAACTGCAAAGCATTCCTGATTGCATGGCAATCTTTCCAAGTACAACTCTATGTATAGACACCCAGACTGGGCAGATGCCACTTGGTACATGCAACCTCAGAGGTTGGGCCCTTTGGTGCAGCCCTACTCCTACTACACATTGAAACAGCTTGCAAATAAAATGCCTGCATAGAGCCAAGGTTTCACCAGGTTGGTCCCTGAAGCCAAAGCATTTGAAGCTGCACATGAGAGATTTTCATCTATTAATGCTGAGAAGCGGCAAGGAATCACTGATGCCATCTGTCTAATGCCCCTGGAGAACCATAGCTTTAGTAGTAGGTAATAGGAAACAGGGCAACTGGAACAGACTGCCTGTGTTTCCTGGTCTGACTTGCTCCATTCTCTGTACACCCATTCTTGCTGCAATGCACTGCCAATGCATCATTATCCCGGCCCCCAGCTTATTTTGTAATCACCATAAGAATTCCAGCCAGCATGTGAGAAATGACTGCAGCAGACTGCCAGTTTGAGTTCTCTTTCTCTTTTTAACTGGGTGGCAGATTCTACTGGTACAGTAAAAATTCCTTATGGTGACCTCTCCTGGCTTTCTTCCATGTCACTACAAATATGACTACTATTACCATACTTGCTCTTGAATAACTCAGTTGCATACGATTAACATAAATTGTCTACTAATTCCCCAAAGTTCAAGTTTCCTTCCTAAACAATGTTTCAGAGATAAGGATTTGTTCATACTGCTTGAAAAGAAAATACAATTTCTCTCAATTTGGGTATCGTTGTTTACTTTTCGGCTCCTATTAGACCTGTGTAGATTTAAATATTTATTCAGATTCAGACAAGAGCGTCTGTACTGTTTCATTATCTTTTATCCTGTCTCTATATCAGCTCCCAAGGCCCACCTTTTTCACCACTACCTGGGCCTCCTTGGCTGTATGGCCTTTGAATCCATTGCACTGCCATTCCTCTAGCACCACCTTCTGCTCCTTATTCAATAAACATTGATTTCCAGGATCTTTGCCTTTTTCAATAGCCTAGGTTAAGCCTTTGAGAATTGGGATACTGACCCAGGTGCTTGGCGGTAAGCATACTAATGAAATCAAAGTGTCCTGCTGTAATGAATGCTCAGGTGTGTCTTTTTAACAACACAAGAGTTCATGCTGTAGACTTTAAATGAAGGTTAAGTTAGTTTCTCATTTTAGAAGTAGTAACCTCCATTTTAGTAACAGTGCAGAAATCCAATATATATGCATGGTACCACTCGTTAAAGTACCATGGTACTATGGTACCACTATGTTGACGATTTTTATCCAAGCATGCACACAAATTAGAAAGAAGTGAAACTGAAATAAATATTAGATCTTCCCAGTCCAGCCGTCCTCTTCTGCCCATAGTGAAGGTGCCTGCATGGGCGCACACAAGCATGAGGTATACTCTCACTCTTATCCCAGGCACCACGTCTGGGCGAACAGATGCAGGAAAGCACATACAGCTACCAAGGAAGACACACATTTCCCTGTGACTGCCCACCATAATTGTGTCTTCTTTGGACCACAGAACTGAGCATCAACCCAAGCTCGCAGTGCAACTAAAAAGAAACCATCTGTTATACTTTATAATATGAGCTACTTTTACAAAGGAATCTTTTAGTGTGAAAAATCTTGAGGATTAAAGGAACTTGGGGTAATTCAGTGTTACAGGAATTGCTAGTTTAAAAGCTGCAATTTGCATATGGAAGACTCTCTGGTGGGAAGAACAAAGCAAAGTTCAACTCACCGATCCACAGCTTCTACATCAAAGCAAAATCTCTTCTCTATGGAATCAGTTTTCCTACGTGTGCAGGATTTGAGGGTGATGGTTTCATCTTCTCCCTGGCAGAAAATGAACATTTAAAAAAAACCACTTATAATATTGTTCTTAAAATAACATAATGGTAATAACTTTTTTTCTGAATACCAGTTGTGTTAATCTTGCAAACAGAATTTGATCCCATGTTGATCATTGATTAAAACCAGCAGGTGAAGGAAAGTTAAGATTTCACTAACACAGGAAGTTTCCCTCCAGAGCATTAGAGGCAGCATCGCTGTGGAATTCTACCAGCCTGGAGACAGATAAGAATTTAAGACAGGTCTGCTGAATCAGAAGGAAGATCCATCTATACCAGCACCCGCCTTCCACCTGGAGCCCTCCATACCTAGCCAGCATGGACACTGGCCAATGAACTCCCAGCAGAACCCCCACAAGCCAGGCCTGAAGGGAAGCACGGCAGTCTCCTGCTGTTGCTGCCAAACGGCTGGTGTTCGGTGGCACACTCTCTCCCTGGAGGCTCCATTTAGCTATAATGGCCAGTAGCAGAAGTGACCTAGGCACCTCCAGTCTTTCTTGTCACCCACCACCACCTTTAACCCCACTTATGACAATGCCAAGCTTCACAACATGAAGTGGGCCTTTGTCTATGGAAGCTCATGCTTGTTTGTTTGAAAAGATGTCATGGGCTTTTGTCTCTAATTAACAGGGTGTTTGCTATGGGTTCCTGAGAATTTGCTCTAAGTTTTTTACAAAAGATTTTTGGCAAGATGAACCACAACCAGGAGCTGCAATCCAAAGCATTTAAAGGCACTACACTGATTAAAGGCCCTTGCGCAACATTCTTTCTCCTAGCATTCTTCACAGGAGATGGTGTAGGGCTTGGGACTTCAGAACTCACTAAAAGGTGAAAGTACAGGTGCTCTACCTCATGGGGTATGGGAGCTTCCTTCTTCAGCCCAGTGATCTGCCGTTCATCCACACCCACGCTTTACAATGTTGGCAGAAGGAGCGGTCACCAAAGACAAGCATGTGGGCTCCATCTATTTTACACCAAGCTCTGCCTTTTGTCCCTCTTCAGGTAACAGAATGTTGGTGTGGGAAACACTAGAATCAGTCTTACCAGTTATCCACTTTCTTAAAATGATTAGATCGCATCTGCAGTGCTGAGTTCTGCCTATTGTTCAACTCTTTCCTGAAGGAAACTAGACTTGCCTATACATTATCGGATTGCTTCCCTCTTCTGTTGCCAGCTTCAGTTATTTCAAGGATTCTTGGAAAGGACTCGCAGATGGGGAGCTACAAAAGGTCTCCACATAACTACACTGATAGGGAAGTACCACTGAGTGGGGAAAAACAAAACATAACATTCCTTGAACATGAATCATGCTGTGAGCAGAGAGGCAGTAGTGGTACTCTTGAAAGACTATGGGTTGCTGTATGCCAAGCAGTGATTTAACTTCAGAATTTATTTAACCCAATAGGAGCAATTGGAAAGCTTTTAAAACACAAAAACTGCAGATTCTTATGGATCAATACATAAAATACTACAGGGTAAAACAAAGTGAAATAATGATGCACCTCACTTAGAAAAGAGACCTCCTGCTTCCTGGAGACATCTCCCTGTTTTGCATGAAAAGAACCATAATGAATCTGTCTGCCTTTATTTTAAATGCTTCAGGAAGAACAATGCTGTGGCCCTGGACAGTCTTTGGGTCATCACAGAGGGTTGTGGATTTTCTTCTCCATGCCTGTAGACATTGCTATGGGTATAGAGGAAGGATCTGATTGTGGATCTTCCCCAGTTCCAGGCACGGCAGAAATCCCCAAGGTGGTTCCACCTTCCAAGGTTGCAAGAGTGACTTCAGAAGAGGGTGGAGGGTGAGAAGGGGACATTCAGGTGGGCAGGGAGAAGAGGCAGGAGGAATGAACAGGGCCCACAGAACACTCAGTCCTCCCCATTTGCAGCTCTGCCTCCAAGGAATATAAGCAAGCTAGAAGAAGCTCATTCAGGTAAAAAAAAAATACTTTTGTACAGCAAGGGGAAGAGAGAATGTCTCTGTTGATCCTTCTGCCTTGCATGGCTCCTGCTAGTAGGGCTTCAGATCGACAGAGGGCTCCTGAAGGCTCTATTTGAAAAATGGCAAACCCATAAGATAGCACTCTAAGGCTTTCACATGAACCTGCTTTCTTTCAGTGTACCTGTTCTCAGTAAGAATTTTTTCTAGGTGAACATATGTTAACTGTAGACCTAAAGGGAATTAAATAAAGACATACAGGCCCCAACCCCTGAACCTACATTTTTAACATCATGCACACATCTGTATATTAGAGATATAGATGAGTTTCATTCATGCTTGTGAAACATGCAAGCATGGCTTTTCAAAGCCCTGAGCAAGGCAATGGATCTGCTGAAAATTTATGTAAATTGTTGAACACATACTCATGTTTGTGGCACTTCTGATCTGCAGTTCAATTTGCACAAATTTCCTAATTTTCCTCTGCGGCTGAATCTACCCCATTTTAGTCTATGTTCTAAGCAGGCAGAATTTTAACCATAGTTCAAGGTTCAGGCATCATGAAGAGAAGTATGAAGGAAATTTGTACCATTGTTTGTGATTTGCACAAATTTCCTTTAATTGTTGCTCAGTTTGCACACATGTCTTGATTGTACAAGCAGAGATCACAAATACATAAAGGAATTGAGGTGCAAGTGGGAAGACTATGTTCCAAGAATCCTAGTGATCTCAAACATCACTTGTTGACCCATCCTTAATATGTACATGTATACACTGGCATGCATACCTGCCTTGAGTGTCCTGGCAGCCATTATGGGCAAGGTAACCTTCTGAAAGGCCCTGCAGGGCATGCCAGCCACCATCATGAGGCTAAACCACCCTCACATAATTCATAGTCCAATGCAAAGTTCTGGGAGTGCGTTTTAGTCCTTAAATAACCCCTGGCAGCAGGGTTTGCGTGACATGACAATCTCCATTTCAGGGCTGTATATACCCACAATGTTGGCTGGAATGCACTGCTATTCCTCAAGGGTTAATTAATCCGCAATGGCTAGCAGGCTGTCAAAACAAAGTCAGTCCCTAGGAAGAGATAAGATACCAACTATGATTTAATTGCCCCTTTGACCTGCAGGGTTTCAGCCAAGGAAAATCAAATGGAATTAATAGAGGATTTCACTCCAACTCAAATACCAGCTCCAGAAAAGAGATCCAAAATGGGAGGGTTAAATTCCCCCTTCAACCTGATTATAATCCTAATAATTACCAGTTGCTTGAAGAAGTAAGAGTGTGTGTGTGTGTGTGTGTGTGTGTGTGTGTGTAAAAGAGAAAGAAAGAAAGAACACACACAATCCTGTCCCCTTTTAGCCTTCACTTCCCAAGTATGTCTTTTATCTAAATATGGTGGAACTTCACTCACAGGCTAGAGACTCAGTGGCTGGGTTTGCATGATCACAAAGAGAAAATAATCCATGAACCCTTATCCTCCCCCACATGCATGGCAATCACATACTGCCTAATGAGTATAATTATCCTCATCAGGCTGGGTTGTCACGAAGCTTGAAACTGGTGGAGGTGGCTGGCTGGTGTGGTATACAAACCACCTTAATCTGCCCTGGATTCCAGGGCTCTTCTGATGTCATGACAAGATGCACCCAGCAAGAGTAATTATGCTAATTAGGAGACTCGTGACCAGTTTTTTTCCACACACACATAGGGAAAGAAAATAAGCCGCCATGGGTTACTTTTCCTCTGTGACTGTGCAAACCTTTCCAGTGTATCAGGTTGGTCTGAATGCTCGCTCTTTAGCAGAAATACCTGAGTTGGCAGTAGGACAAAGCTTGCATGAACTATTTACACTGTTTCTTGGAAGAGGGCCTAGTCCTCCAAGATGCTGCAGCAGGAGGACCTTTTGTGTGATGTTCATTACCATGATCGCTCATAAGAGAACTCCCAACTACAGAAGGAGCATATCCTTGATTACCAGCTGCTTGGGAAAAAGAATGATGATACAAATATGAAGTAGTGTGTTCATATACTTAAAGAATGGACTATTTTGTTTTTAGAAATATTCAAGTATAATTATTTGGCAATCAGTTTGAATATATTTAGAGCAATAGTAATTGGAGCTGAAAACTGATTCATCTCTTGATTGTCACATTTATTTCCCCAACTAGATTAGCCAATCCCAGCAGCAGTCTGCTCGGAAGGGCTCACTTTCAACATTATTATAATTTTAAAAAATTAAACTCAGGAATTGGGGTATGTCCTGACTGTGCAGCTTCTCTATCACTAGTCAGGCATCCCAACAACCTAAAGACCCACAGCGTAACTCTCTGCTGGATGGCCACAATTAGGATTATTTATTTCTTATATTTATAACCTGCCTCTTTTTTCCTTCCAAGGAGCTCAGGACAGCTTACATAATTCTCCTCTTCCTAGTCTTATCCTCACAACAACCCTGTGAGGTAGGTTGGACTGACAGTCTGTGACTGGCCCAAAGTCATCCAGTGAGCTCCATGGCTAACTGAGGACTAGAACCCAGTTTGCCTGGGTCCCAGTCCCACCCTCTTAACCATTCCACCATGCTGACTTTCAGGAGGGAACAAAGATGCACTTTTGCCAGATGAGAAATGCTCCACCAGCAGGGAGGTAAGATTCTAGCAGACTGAGGGTGGGTGGTTCTAGCAATCCAAGGGTGGGGCAGAGAAAGCCCTGCGCTCAACAGGGATGCCCCCGAATTGGGCCCTTCCTCTATGCTAGTCTGCAGTTAGCCTTTCCTTCCCCCCATTCCTCCCAGAACTAAGAGGGAAAGGATAATTTTAGAAAATGCAAAAAATATTGCAATTAATGGGAGGATACCCCTTTCCATCCATTTGGGTGTGCATGATGCAGCAGAACTTTCAAAGTACCAACTTTGGCTTGACTTAACAGTCCCTTCCGAAATTCAGACTGAGCATAGTAACCATAATCCCAAAACTGTCCAAATGCAAGATGTATTGAATATTCACTCACCCCCTTTCCACCAGACTTCTGGTCAAATGGCACCATAATGATTTGTTTAGAGTCACTCTGATACGTGCAGTAATGCTTTACCCAGGACGTCCCAAAATGTCCTACACAGAATTGAAATGAATGATTTCATTTAATATATAGAATATGTAATTATGCCCTATGGAATATAGAGTATGCAATATGTAACTCAGTCATGAATGCATGCACATCTTACTGGAAAGAGAACAAATGTTGCTGAAGGGGCTTCGGTAGTTCTGTATCCAACTTGCTGAATTTGGGAGATACACAAAGGTAACTAACTTTATTCAAAAGTTTGTGTGTACAGCAATCTTATTGAATTAAGCAGGCAGCAGCTTCAATAATTTATAAACTTGGCTATTCCCAGGGACTGCCTGCCACCTGTGGAGTCTGGCCTTGAAATAAGCATCTCCACTTTTCTCATCTTGGTGTCTCAGCTTGGCCAGCATTCCCAGACTCTCCCAGTTCTGCTTCACGTCCACATTCTGATTCTGATTTTTGAAGCTCAGCCAGCAGCCCCGAGAATGAGAACCCAAAGCAGCCATCTTTCTCATGCCCAATTTCCTGAACTTGCCTGGATTGATCTCTATGACATTCAGACCAGAAACTCTGGGTTGCTACAGGAAGAACTACCCAGAAGTTTAACACAGGAGCAACAGAGTTGTCCTAACAGAGTTCCAGTTTGGACAACACAGATAATAAGCCAGGGATGTGATGCAAAGGGAAAGCAAGTGAGCAGGAAAAAGGTAGCACATTTGCTTGCTCCTCATGCAACCCATGGTCGCCATTAAGTAGGTTGCTTAATAGTACAGAACAGGTCAGAGAGAAAGAGAGAGAAAAAATATTATTACCAACAAATAGCTGTCTTTCTAAAAATTCACATTTTTCAAAAGCTCTGTCCACTTAACTTCAACCATTGCCCTTTTCCTGACTGAAAAAAACTACTGCTATCTGCTGATTTGTCACTTCCACACTCCCCTATGGGGCAAATACAGGGTATCAAAATAAAAGCACTTACGCTTTTCTTGGACATAGAGGTAGCCCTCCATAGTGTAAGGACTGATGTTCTTGTGCTCATGGGGATTCTCCTTCATTTTCCGCATCAAGGACTCAACCTCTGATCTTGTGCCTTCAAACCGGTTTCTTGTCTGTATTTAAAATAGAAAGCAAAATGGGTGTAAGGTAGCCTTTTCAAGGTCTTAAAATGTGTTTACTACTGCATGAGAAGCAGAACTGGCTCAAGACAGAACCACAAGCCATTTTCTATTTATTTACATATCTATTATTACAGTTATAGCCTGCCTTTTTCCCTCTTGCAAGAAAGCCAAGGCCTGGCACACGTTTCTCCTCTTCATTTTATCTTCACAACAAGCCTGTGAGGTAGGTCAGGCTGAGGCTCAATGACTAGCCCAGAGATGCCCAGTGAGCTTATTACCCAGATCTCCCAAGTCTCAGTCCACCACTCACATTGGCTCTGCATTATGATATATACCACATACATAAGGAGCAAAGACTAAAAGTCACAAGTATCAACTTCTGCCAGCTACAGCCATGTATGATGTCACATTTCCGAAGAAACCAGAAATGTTTAAAATGCTTGCTCAAATTATAGCACGCGTAAGCATAGATGTACAAGGGCATGTGGCTTTCAGCTTTCATAAAACAGAAGCAAACAAGTGGCTATTGAAGCTGTGGGTTCAGGCAATATGAGAATCCTTGAGTGTGGGTTGAGTATGGCTTGTGTGTGGGTTGTCATTTAACCATGGACTGCTGGTGAAACATTGCCTGAACTCATCAGTGCTAATAATCGTAGTTCGTTAAACAGAAACAAGCTACAGTTCAGAATCCAACAATAAACCATGGGTTGTTCATGGTTAATAAACCAGGTTTTGTTAACCTGCCTGGTTCAAACAACTCAATAACATATGTTTCAACAATGACTCATATGCAAACCCTAACTGTGGCTATCAGGTACTTTCCACACATCACAACAAACTTCCCTGACAACAAGCCACAGTGGGTTCGTTGTTGGCAAAACAATTCATGGTGCACCAGCAGACAATCTGTTGGTCTCCTCCTTCCCTCCTGCTGATATCCCAAAGGCAACTAAGTTGTCCTAAAGCAAAAAATGATGTTTAAACATGAGATGTTGTTTAACTAAAATGTAAGTAAAATGCAGGGTGTCACTTTGGCACTTTGAAGGAGCTGTCAATGGCTGTCAAAACAGGGATCACAAAAGCAATCTCTTTAACAATCTCTGTGGATAAGAAGGGGAAAGGAGGAAAAGCTAGCATGAGCAAAACATGGCTCATGATCATACAGGAAGCCACTACTGACTGTCCCCAAATGCCATGCAGAGTCATCCAGAGCAGTTGCCCAAGAGTTACTTGGCAAGATTAGCAAGGGTTTTTTTGGCACTCGTGCCATGTATCTCAGTAATTGATTCTCCATACCTGCGATGGAGTCAGCTGCCTTTGAATGACATGACAATTTACTGTGGATACTACAACCTTTAACAATAACTCATGGGGTTTGGGGGTGGCTTGCTGCCTGGGGAAGGTGGCCTGGGGAAGACCTTCTATGGGTTGTTGTGTCATGGGAACCCAGTTATTGTATTCAGTGCTAGGTCATCATGTTTACCACTGTCCATAGGGGGAGCAAGTTGCTTGTCATTATACATATTCAGCTTCTCATTGACGTCAAAACCTGCTTGTTGAACAGAGCTAGGACTAGCACCGCAATAAAGGTTCTTTGTTTCTGACAAGTATTTCCATCAGTGCTCACATTTTGTATGCTGATTGTCAGCTCTGTCTTGAAATCGCTGAAATCCTTCGCAAGCTCATAGCCATGATGGTAGAATGTGAAGAGTCCCTGCAGAAATGCCAGCAGCTGCAGAAGAGAAGGCAGAGAGAAAAGCAGAAGTGGTTAAATGAGGATGAAGATGGACCCACTCCTCTCAATGGCGTCTGTTTAAGCTGGTAGAGAGTTCTCGCTACAGTCATCCTGTCTTTTTAAAGCCCTGAACACATCATCCAAAGAGAAAAGAAACAGCTGCAATCGCTTCCACTTACCAGACAGCAAGTGCCATTGAAATCAATGCAACTTACTTCTATGAAAGTAACACAATAGTGTTGCAAAGTTGCAACCCTGAACACATTCATTTGAAAGCATGCCCCACTGTGAACAAGTCTGGCCGTGAGCTGCACAACAGCTTAAAGAAAACCAAGTGTTGTTGCAAGTAGTATGTGCCATTGTGCAGCTTCTGGCACTTCATAAAGCTCTCTTTAGACAGACATGAACGACAATTTTGGACAGCGGTGGACAATTTCTTGGACGTTTTGATCTCTGCAAGTCTTTGACTTTAATTGCAAAAATCCAAGCAGGAGTCTAGAGTACCTTCTCCAGCACGCTGTCTACATCTGGCACCCAGAGCCACCTTGCACCTTAGGTGATGTGATCACTCCAGTAGTCACAGGCAATTCTAGAGAGGAGCAATCGGGAGGCCTGCTTTGATTTTCAGTCAGCTGCTCAAACTGCCCTTTCAAAAGAATGGCGGAAAAGGGAACTTGTTGCTGCATGGTACACTACACAGGCTGATGATGGCAACAGGGAGCGTTTGGAAGGCGGTGCTCATTCCTTGCTTCTCTGTGAACCTTTTGGTGATTTGTGCATATGGCTGTGGAAGCTGGACTATAAGGAAGGCTGAGCGCCAAAGGATTGAGGCCTTTGAATTGTGGTGCTGGAGGAGACTCCTGCGAGTCCCTTGGACCACAAGGCGATCAAACCGGTCAGTCCTAGAGGAGATCAACCCTGGCTGCTCTTTAGAAGGCCAGATACTGAAGATGAAACTCAAATACCTTGGCCACCTAATGAGAAGGAAGGACTCCCTGGAGAAGAGCCCAATGCTGGAAACAATAGATGGCAAAAGGAGGAGGGGACGGCAGTGGTTGAGGTGGCTAGATGGGGTACTGGGTGTGGGCTTGGGTGGACTCCAAGGAGTATGGTGGAAGACAGGAGAGCCTACAGGAATGTTGTCCATGGGGTCGTGATGGGTTCGGCATGACTTTGCTACTAAACAAAACAAAAAAGTGCATGCTGTCTACAGGAAGTTTTGGAAGGCCTGAGTGTGTTGGGTGATTTTTCTGGTGGTTGCTGATTTTTGTGTTTTGGGGTATATCTTTTTAGGAGTGCCTGTGCCTGCTCTCTGAGCTTGTGTGTGTTTCCAGGGGGTGCAGGGGGGGAGTGTTTTGGGCAAAATTCTGTGGGGAGAAAGAGAGAAGCTGTTGGAGAATTGGGTGTGTTGTGTTACTGAAACATATGTGCTACACATGTGAAAATACAAACACATCAACTGCATATACACTAACACTTTGGGGGCGGGGGGTTCTTGAATTGGGGACAAATTCCTACTGAAAATTGAGTCAGTTTTCTTGGGGGTGGGGTTCTAAAACCTTGGTGGTGTGTTCATACCGAAAGTGAGTGACAGAGTTTTTCTTTTCATTATCTTAAAAACAATCCACCAAGCACCAACCCTGGCATTCTGGCTTAGGAATGCAGCCACAAAGCAGCAGCAAGGATGTTTAAGCGGGGGGGGGGGGGGGACGTTGGGCCTAGACAGCCCCTCCACAAAAGGTGCCAGAATTTCATTCCCCCACCCAGTTGCCCCAGAAGTTAATGATTCTCTCACATACACCCATGGATGCAGGGGGCATAAATTTTCTGGAGGGTGGAATTGGATATTCAGTCCTCTGTTACTCAAAATTGTAACAATACTGCAATGGCTACTGCCATGGGCATGTCAGATGCAAATATGATATAAAATAATATTCTTATCTTCTAGTAGAGCACTATGGATTAAATTCCTTCAAAGCTCCAGGAGGGAGGGAGGGAAGGAGGGAGGGAGGGCGGGAGGGAGGAAGGGGTTTCTACCCTCCTTTCACTGTGAAGCAATGGAGATAAAAGTACAGATAAAGTCACAGAAATCACATTTGAAGAAAATAATTAACTATGCTCATTTTTATTTAATTGCTTTTGGAAGAAATAAAGAGCAAATCATTCTGTTTTTAAAAAATGTGTTTCAGAATATAAAGGTCTACAATGCAGATAGGTTTGGTAACTGATAACATTTCTGAATACAGGAGCAGCTTTCTACTAAAAAGATAGCTGATATAGACTAGCACTTCCTAAGAACATGATGCTTGCCACTGTGTTAAATATATCTATTTTGAACACTTATATACAGCTCCATAGCCCAAAAGGCTCTCTGTGTGGTTTACAATAAAATACCGTAAGATCAACTGTACATTAATAAAGCAAACATGGGAAAGAAGAGGGAGGGAAAAAAGGGGAGCAGTCAACACCCACATTTGTAATATTCACATGCCTCAGAGACAAAGGACCACCATACAAGGAAGCTGGTCCCATTCAGCTTGAATGCGGGAACACTGAGGGTTGCCTTTGTGGCCCTGTTCAAATTTAAACCACTGTCTCATTGCTTATGAGAAAATGGAAGGTGCTTCAGTGTTGCTGTTGTTGTTAGTCACAAAGTCATGTCCGATCCATCGCGACCCCATGGACAACACTCCTCCAGGCCTTCCTGTCCTCCACCATCCCCCAGAGTCCACCCAAGCTCACACCAACTGCTTCAGTGACTCCATCTAGCCACCTCATTCTCTGCCGTCCCCTCCTTATTTTGCTGTCAGTTGTTCCCAGCATTAGGCTCTTCTCCAGGGAGTCCTTCCTTCTCATTAGGTGGCCAAAGTATTTGAGTTTCATCTCCAGGATCTGGCCTTCTAAAGAGCAGTCAGGGCTGATCTCCTCTAGGACTGACTGGTTTGATCGCCTTGCAGTCCAAGGGACTCGCAGGAGTCCTAAGTACTCCTTGCTCTATGATGAATGCCCACTTGGTAACTCCCTCACAAATGTTTTTAAACTGTCAGGAAATTTTGTGGCTGCTGCTAGCTGATGTTTTGGAAGGAACAATGCTGAAACGATGGGAAGGGACCCTGGCTCAGGCTAGAGCACAGGCACTGTGTGCAGAAGGCTGTGGGTTCGGTCCCCATCAACACTGAGCAAGGCACAAAAACATCTGCTTGGAACTCTGGGGAGCTGCTGCCAATCCGTGCCAGGAGTACTGGGCTAATGGCCCCATGGGACGACTGAGCATGAAGCAGCTTATTGAGATTCAGTGGTAAAGGGAGCGTGTCAGCTATCTGTATTATAGCATAAAATAGTATACAGCAGTGTACAGTGCAGCTTAATGGCACACACGTGCTATGAAAAGACCATATGGTAGATTATATGCTTTGGGTGTGAAAGCTCCCAGGTTCTGTACCTGGTATTTTCAAATAATTAAAGCTACATACATGGGCCTCCTGTCGGGACTGGCTGTTGCCTTCCAAAGTATACATTGTTGAGGGCCACCGAAGCATGGTGGTTGATGTGCTGGACTGGGATTGGAGATACTCAGGGCCAAGTCCACACTCAGCCATGAAGTTCACTGTGTGAGTTTAGAGCTGAGAATCCCTGACTGGCCCATTTGCTTCAACCTTGCTGAGAGGATAAAATGGAAAGTAGGAGGATCACATACACCACCTTGGGCTCCTTGCAGGAAAAAAGCAAGGTGTAAATGTAGCACACACATGCTTACTTACCGGCTCGACAAACTCAAACATCTTCCTTTCCTGAACTTCTTGTACTTTGAAGACATACTCAAGAGAGACTTCATAGAAGTGCTGTCGAACCAGGTCCACTTGGATGTCTGCCTGTCAGTCATCATGTAGATTAAAAAAGATAGAAAGCAGCTATTAGCAGATTACACAAAGCCTGCTTGTTTGTACTATTTTCTCAAAAAAAGTGTATTCACATCTCAAACACTAGACAGAAAACAGCTAAATACTGCCAAGTTTATAGGAAAAATAAGCTTTCTCATCCAATCGCTAATGGTGAGTAAATACACAAAGCTGACAAGCATCTATGGGAGAATACAGCAGTGATCTGAGAAACCCTGTGATTCCTTTAAAACTTATCAAGTGTTCTCCCAGTGATGGTGATGTTTGGTGATGGCTGAGAAGCTTCCTTCAGCTTCCCACCTATGCCTGTCACATACAGCTACGGGATAGGGCTGGGTCTGTTCTCTTTGTGCATTCAGTTCTGGCTAGTCACCAGTGAAGCCCAAGAATCCTGGAAAACCACCTGGCCCTAATATGGACCCAAGAATGTTCTCCAGGAACCTCTGCAGAGCACACACTTTTCAAGGAAAATATGTCAAGAGTGAACATATTCACTCTTGGAAGACACATAGATGAAGTTCCTAAAAAAATAAAATTTGCATTCTATTGGTTTAGCATAAGCAGCACACTTTCCCATTCTCCTTCTTCATTCCTTTAATTGAGACTCATATCACAAGTCTTCAGAAGTATTATGAGACACACTGAATCTGTAATGTTAGTTTACTGCATCTTCCTCAAGAAAGTTGTTGAGGAGGGCATCATGAAAGTAAGAAAACCAAAAATTAAAGAGCATGGGAAACAGAACTGTCTTAATGCTTAGATAACTAAACCAGCGTGCACTGAATAATATGGAGACCATTGGGTAAGGTTGACAAACTGCAGGGAAAAGCAAATGAATATATATATTCCAACACAAAATTATGAAGGATAAACAATCAGCTCTTGAATAAGAATTAAATATTGTAAAACACTTCCAATTTTTTAAAAAAAGGTAAGTCTGCTTTAATTTTTCTTCTCCACAAACAAAAAACAGAATGAGATTTAGGTTGGAGGGGAGCAAGTAGAATATTAGGATCCTTCCCTTGATTCAAAGCATGTGAGAAAGCTGCAGAGATAGTAGACAATGGGAAAAGTGAAATTTATAAGGTGGTATTTTTGTTTGGAAAATTGTTTGGTTATAAGATATTGAGCAGTATTATAGTTTAGGAAATGATAGCAAGACATACACCAGTATTATCATTCTTAGTGCTCAGATTAACCATTCTACAAAAGCTGTTAGCAGTTCTCCTTCACAGGAAGATTTTAAATCAAATGTGATTCATGACAAGTTTAATCCTTACTTTCCTCCAAAGGGCATGTGCATACTCTCCTTTTTATTCTCCATGGTTAGCTCACTGACATAATATCAGTGGAATATCGCACAGCCAAGGTGGGGACTAAACCAGAGTTTCCTGCATTTACACAGCAAATTGGTGCAAACGTTTTCAGCCTGGTGCCCTTCAGATGTCTGGCATTACAAATCCTATCAGTGGCTGTGCTACCTGCTGCTGCTGCTGAGAGCTGCACTCCAAAAACATCTGGAGGGCATCACACTAGGGGAGGCTGCAGTAGCCACTAAACCACCCCTTGCTGTGCCACTAAGTGAGGCATGTTCTCAGAGATCCAGCATGTAAACTGTGAGATACTCTCAGTGAAATCAGTAAAATGGGCCATATTAGTGTCTTTGTTAGCAAATAAATAAATTCCATTCCCCCAGATGTTTGGCCTATATCAGCAAGCTAGTGAATACTCTGAGCATTCAGCACACGAACCACTGCCTTGGACGGAGCCAGACACACCCATGAAGCAGCTGCATGTATTAATGGAGCACAGCACCCATTCCTCTGAAATCACTGCAAACAACCCCCCCTCCACACACACACACACACACACTCATATGTCACTGTTCTGGCCTGCTTCCCCTTCCGAAATCCTGGTTCAATGATTTTCAGGCATTTCAAGCTGGAAAACATGCAGCTTCCTCTGTCTATATGAAAGCTGCACATATTTGGGCCACCCTATTCTGAACTTAAAGCAAGAAACTGAAGAGTTCTGCACCTAAAGATGCTAATGCAATCAAGGTGGGTTTCTCCCATGAGGAATACTAAAAATAGAAGAATCGGGTGGTCAGGGCCTCTGTGAAAGGCCACCAGGCGCTCTAAAGTATCAAACACTGACTTGTTTATAAAAACGAGAAGGTCAAACCTGCATTCTGGTTAAAAGTGCTAAAATCCCTTCCATTACAAAAAGGACCTGAAACAAAGTTTAATATCAAACATGTCCACGAGGTGGCTCCAGTATTCAATTATTGCATGGATGGGTACCTTAAAAAGAAAAGGTGGGGGTGCTACACAAATTCAGGAAAGATAAGGTTACCCATGGGTAGAAGCTATTTAGTACCTCCAGGACGAGAGGCAGTGGCTGGGAAAGAACCGTAGGAGAGGGCTATTATCCCATGTCCTGCTTGTGAGCTTTCCAGGATGCTGGGCAGATACAGGCCCTTGGTCTGATCCAGCATGGCTGTTTTTGTGTTCTTATAGCAGCACTGCAATGCAGCGAAGTAATTAGCTGGTCAGTTCAAATCAATACAAGAAACTTATTTAAAGGTTTTCATATTTCATTTTACAACTTACTCCACCCCTTCATTGTTAAAAATCTTCATGTGAGGCCAAATAATACATCACACTGATCTTAATACTGCATTTGATGTGACTACATTTGTTTTTTGTTTGTTTTTTTAAGGAAAGGAGAGCAGCTGCAGCAGGCCCTGTGGATGAGGACAAATAGTTATTTATTTGCTTAATGTATTTATAGGCCTCTTTGTAACAAAGTAATCAGAATGACTCACAACAAGAAATAATGCAATCTTAAAACAAGCAATGAGATTACAGTTTGAGAATTAAAATAGGTCACAGAATAAAGCTAGAGAAGTATAAAAATCCAGGTAGGTGATTTTGACCCAGTTCTGGACAGGGTAGCACTCCCTCTAAAGGACAGGGTCCGCAGCTTGGGGGTACTCCTTGACCCAGAGCTGTCACTGGAGTTCCAGGTGGCAGTGGTGGCAAGGAGCGCTTTCCTACAACTTCGACTGATCCACCAGCTGTGTCCTTACCTGGATGAGCACTGCCTAGCAACAGTGATACATGCTCTGGTAACTTCCCGCTTGGATTACTGCAACGTGCTCTACGAGGGGCTGCCCTTGAAAACGGTCCAGATACTCCAGCTGGTACAGAACAGGGCTGCCAGGCTGCTGACGGGGACCGGCTGTTACTCTCACATAACGCCAGTCCTCTACCAGCTCCACTGGCTCCCAGTTGAAGTCTGGGCCCAATTCAAGGTGCTGGTTTTGACCTAAGAATAAAGGCCTAAATGGCTTGGAACCAGGACACCTGAAGGAACGTCTCCTTCCTTATATGCACTCACGCCCCTGAAGATCTATGGGAGAAGCCCTACTCCAGGAACCCTCTCTAAGTGAGGTTAAAAGGTCATCAACTCGGAGTAGGGCCTTCTCTGCTGTGGCACCCAGACTCTGGAATGTACTCCCCAGAGAGGTACGCCTGGCACCAAGTTTATACTCTTTTCGGCACCAGGCCAAAACCTTTTTATTTAAACAGTATTTTAAACTTCAATAGTTTTTATGTTTAGTTGCTCTGTTTGTTTTGTGATTTACTGTTTTGTTCTATTATTTATTGAAATTGTTGTTTTAATTGTCTTTTTAAATATTGTAAGCTCTCCTGAGATATTGTATAATAGGACGGCATACAAAAGCTTGAGAGAGAGAGAGAGAGAGAGAGAGAGAGGGGGGGGGGGGTTCTTTGCCTGGTGCCCAAATTGCAACTAAGTAGGTGGAACCGCTCTGAGGAAATTCCACAGTCGTGAAGCCACCACCAAGCAGGCCCTTTCTCCCATAGCCATCTAACACATCTCAGCTGCTGCACCTCCTTGGCACTCAGAGGAGGACTTCCAAAGATTTCAAAGTCCAGGTGAATTCATGTGAAGAATGAAAGCCCTTCAGGTACCCTTGCTCCAAACCATGGGAGCCCTTAGAAAGTCAGAAGGAGCATCATAAATTATGTCCAGAAACACACTGGAAACCAGTGAAGATGGCAAAGCACTTGCACACTCTGCCCCTTTCCTCAGTCTCAGTTATCAAGGGGCTTTTGGGCAAGGCTTTTATTGCTCCATTGCTCTGCCTCATTCACAGAATTTTTCAATGACCCAGGCATTGTCACCTTTCACATGTAACCCTGCCACGTCTTCCACTGCTTCCTCTGCCCCTTTTTCTTAGTGCAGACAATCCAATCATAAGAAAGAGATTGAACAACTTCACAATCGCTAGTGCAAGGTGCCTCACTCTGGAAGCTCACTGTTATCTTTTGAATCTATTAACGTTTCTGAACCAATTTCAGAGGCATTGCAGTAAACCAAATGAAAGGTTAGCAGGGCATGGATAACTGAATCAACACCAAGGTAAGGGGTAAGGGGGAAGCTTTTTCAGAATCACAGAAGAATCCTTGTTATAAGTCACTTAGAGATTCCTCTCAGAATAGTTTGGTGGCATAAGAGAGAGAGAGAGAGAGAGAGAGAGAGAGAGAGAGAGAGAGAGAGAGAGGGAGGGAGGGAGGGAGGGAGGGAGACAGACAGACAGACAGACAGACAGACAGACAGACAGACTCAATCCTGGGAGAGCAACTGCTTTCCCTTTTAAAAAACCACACTATCAGTGAACTCTGGGATTCTGAGACCCTCAGGGTCTGCCTTCTCACCACCCTGGCCAGCTCCTGCTCCTCATTTCTTGCTTGCCAGGCAGAAAGCCACTGAGCAACTGTATCTCCTCCCGCTCCATCACACCACTTCCCTTGTGTAGGAAGCTGCTTCTCTGGAAAGTTCATTCCATTTAATCTCAATAGATTTTTCATACATTTCAAACCCAATGGCCAAAAGTGGGCCATTTTGGTTCCTGGAGTTGTTTCTTTTTCTTCTGTAATAATGCACAGAATATATGCACAAATGTGGAGCCAGGTCTGCATATATCTAGCAAAATTTGCATAAAGTGGGGATGAGTCATTCAGTTTGAGTCTATTCTTGCGGTACCTTCTAACATGACAAATGAGTGTGTATGCATATATTTTAACTTGGCCACCTTGAATTCTCTGACAGTCAGTTTCAGCTTTGGCAAGAGTCAGGCCTCAGATCAGCAAATGTGTATCTCAACAATCTGCATACATTTTCAGAGGGGAGGCACACATTTCCAGAGCTTTTTATTTTTCTGAAAATTGACACAAATCACAGCACCATTCATAAACAGTAGCCCATGCATTGGCTCAACTCACATCAGATAAAGTCAACACCATCACAGGGTTGATGGACCATAAACCACAGAGCCAAACTAAGAAAAGCCATCATTCTTTCACTGTCCTAATGGATTCCTACCATTGTCTAGGCCAGAGTGGGAGAGGCAGGTGAAGAAGCATGTTCCAACAGAAGCAGGTCCATCAACAGAGCCCTTCAAATGAAACTTTCAAACTACTTCCATTTCCCAATACACACCCTTAGAACTGTAGCCTGAGCACTCAAATACAGAAGCAGTTAATGAACTTCATAGCAAAGTAATCAGACAATAAAAAAGCAAGAAGCCATTTCTCACCTCTTGAAGCAGGGATTCCTTCTTCTTGGAAGACAGGTTTAAGTGCTTTTCTAACACAGCACAGTATTTCTCTGTCTCCTTGTCATACTTCTTCTTGGCTTCCTGCCAAAACATGCCATGTACAGGCCATCAGAAACAAATGCTCTGCAGGGATCCTTCTGAGCTCCCTTCCCCTCAATAAAATATCACAGAAGTGTTGTGCCAGGGCCAAGCCTAATATTGCAATTTATTTATTAATATTGAAATTTACATCTCAAAACCTATAATTGAAACTTCCAACCACCTTCCTCTATGAAGACGGATGATCAAAGAAAGAAAAAGATTGTATTGGATAATTAGACATACAGCAAAAAGTTATTTTGCCACAAATACAAAATGGTCAGGTAGATGCTATACAGACCATTTGTCCAAATATGGGGCCAGGCAAACAGTCTGTCCTAGGTACAACACTAGTACTGATTAGAATATGAAGAAGCAAGTCTGAACACTTCTTCTCTGCCAAAGTAGCTGTTCCAACAGCACACAGCAAGTCTGCTATTCTCCCCTCCACCTTTTTGTAATATTTATTTTCTTCACATATACAAATAAAACTGTAAAAAATAGAAAAAAAACCTAGTATAAACAGAACAAACTAAAGTGGAAAAATAAACAAAATTGCCAAGGGAATTTTAAACAGATACAGTCTATATTACAACCCCCCCCCCCAAATTGACTCTCTTCCTATCTGCCCATGCTCTATGAGAGTTTACAGAAAAGAAATCATTATTCTATACATCAACATTATTCTATACATTTATACATTTCCTTTTTAATTGCCAAATTGCCCTGAACTTCCATTAATCATGCTAGCTACAATAAAATTTTCATCTGTCATTAAATTCTTCTAACGGTCTTCTGTTTGCATAGACTTCTGCTTGCTTTGCCATCACTGTATATTCTGCTCATCTATTGCTGCCTTCTTCAATGGTTGGGGGCTCTGGTGATTTCCATTCAGACGCTATTGAAATTCTTGCCGCTGTAGTCATATACTTAAATAGCTCTGACGTGTTTTCAAAAGGGACTCTGGGATGATATTCAAAAGCATGTTCTTGTTAACAATATTTATTTATCTGGCCAGGGTGACGTCTTTTCTTTTCTTTTATAACTTTTCTTTTATAACTTCTTTTATATCATTTATATTTTTATTTATTTTATATTATTAATTTTAATTTTATATTGTTATTTTTGTATTGTATTGTATTGTATTGTGTTGTAAGCCGCCCCGAGGCTTCGGCAAGGGGCGGCATAGAAATGTTCTAATAATAATAATAATAATAATAATAATAATAAGTCGTCATAGGAAATTTAATTTTAAAGATTTTCTGCATTTCTGCATGTATCACTTTCCAAAACTTTTGTGTTATTTCACATGTTCACCACATATGGTAGAAAGTCCCATCCATCCTGTTACATTTTCAATATCTCCCATTATAATTCTTTTCTATTTTGGAGTAATATACCACCGATAAAACATCTTATACCAATTTTCCCTTAATGTCTGACTAGCAGTGAATTCAATATCATTTTCCCAAAGAGCTTCCCATTAACCCTGTGACATCTCTTCACCAAGATTCTGTTCCCAGATTGTCATATGTTTCTTATCTTGATGACCTTCAGTATCATAGTGTGATAACAATTTGTAAAGACTTCCCAGTAGATGATCATTCTGCTGTGTAATCAGCTTTTCAAAATCTGTGAGCTGTCTTATAACTTACGATATCTCAGTAAATTATAAAATTATTGTTCCTCCTTGATTGTTTTCCATATGCTTCCCATCAGGGAGGAGATTGGATGACTATTTTTTTTCCTCACAGAATACCAAATTTTTATTAAACTGTCCCTTAGCACATGGTTGTTATTTAAGATCAGAGCCTTCTTAACTGACACAAGGCTGCTATTCTCTATGGTGATTAATACCTCCACACAGGAGCACTGTGTCTTAGCTTCCAAGCATTACTTACCATCCCAACCAATGATCGAAGCTACAATAAAACACGTCTGTTGATTCCTGTAACAAGTGCTACCAAACGGCACTACAAAACTACTTTGAGGAGCTGCACACAATTCTTCTCCTTAGTACCCAGCAACTGCCAACACATGGCTCAATTTCAAAGATTTTAGTTGGTAATTTTTGCTGCCAACACTAGATTAATTCCACTGGGTGGGTATGCATGATCACTGGCTGTGCGCCAGACAAAAGTTGTCTAAGTAGTGTAATTTCCTTCACCAAGCATAGGTTGTTGGGCATAGGTTTGATGCCCAAACCTGGAGAGGTGCCTGGTTGGCTGGTTTGCAGTCCACCCTGAAATCTATAACAAGTTATTATACTATGTGAACTGGCCACTGCTTCATGATATGTATTCCAGCTTTGATGTCATTCATAGGTACTGCTCTAATAGCCAGAAAGTCACCAATGAAGAGTTTATAGCGAGACTGTCTTTTCTCTTCAGTCTTTTTCCTTATAAAAGGAACTGGGAGAGACCCATATATCTTTTCAGCAACAAGAAGTTGTTATAGCAACGAAGCAAGACAAGATAGAGGCCAGTGTCTCAGAGCAGCAGAGCAAAAACTGGATGAGCATCTCGTATGTTTGAAATAAAAGAAGGGATCTGACAAGAACTTCTTCACTGCTGTTTACAATTATTTGCAATTCTGCTGATGTCACTGAGAAAGCAGAGCTGTTCTACCTTGAGTAATACGAGGCAATCAGAAATCAAAGAATGTGATGACATCACTGGGCTAGGCAGCTGACCAGGTCTGACAGGTATGACAACACAGTCGAGGAACGTAAAGTCAATTCTTGCCCTACATTTCACCTGATGTATGGAAAACTAGCTATCTTATTGTGCCAAAACAGTAATACCAGGTTTTAGTCCTACATCCAGCAACAGGAATTACTTTACCCCCAATGAACATTTTCACACCCTTTGAGACCCTTCAATCATGGAGGGGAAGTTTTTCAGGGATCCAAATGGTCATTAAAATATGTCCAGCTCCAGTTAAAGAATGTTTAATCATTATCACAGCGCTTCCAATCTGAAATTTACATACTTGGATGGATGGATTCACCTACCTTAGCAGCACCAATTTGCTCCTTACGGAACTTCTCTAGGGGAGTGATAAGGACTTCACTTGCATTCTCAATCTGACAAAGGTAAAGAAGGAATATTCAATTTCCCCCATTGCAGTATTTTACTCCTTCATTTCCATTCTCAATTACTGTAATTCTCTCTGAATGTAGCTATTTTTTCTTCCTACAAAATCAGTATAACTCAGAATTCTTCCGGGTGTATTTTAAAGATCCTTATGCTCAATTATACAAAAATAGCCAAGGTTGATGTGTAATACTTCAAGCTACAACAGTTCAACAAAAGAGAAAGTCATGGTGCCAAAACAGTTCCAGTAAATAGCCAGTTGCTACTGTTGAACAAGGACATAAAATAAATTGTTAAGCTGTGAGACAGCCCTTTCCTTCTTTCTTCTTGTGAACTTTGAAAAATCAGACAAAAACAATGCAGTGAAACTAGTCACAGGACAATTAAGAAACACCTTCAACTTTGGAATTACATACAATGCTAAGTTCCCTGGGTTGTTTACGGAATAATAATTTTGAAAATCTTGTTTTGCTATTCTGTTTCTTGTCCTGACCCCATTGCAATTCCCATTCTGCATCCTGCACTGCATTCAGAGCATTCGAAATTTAAGATATCAGCCATCATAACCAAGTGATTGTGGTCAGTTAAAAACGTCTGAGAAACAGTTTTGCATATAAGCTTTAGGACCAAGGTACCAGAAAGACTACCTCTTTCCATCACCTCTTTGTCACCTCAGGCTTTGTTCCATGAACTATCGCTATCAAAAGTTTGGCTGGCCAGGAAACAGGACAAGTTCCTGGTTCCCCCGCCCCTCGCCCCACAAGCTTAGCTTTTACAAGTTTCTCCTTGGGAGAGCCATCTGCTCCTCGCCTTAACCAAGCTTTCAGCATTCTATTAAGACTTTTCATTTTGCTGAACTTTACCTGTTCCAAAAGTTTTTCTCCCCTGAGGCTGTGAATTTCATTTTAGCTCTCCTATAAATCACACAAAAGCTCTGGCTTTAAATTTATACAAGAACAAGAACAGTCAGTAAGATGAAGTAGTTAGCACTTAGATCCCCAACGCAGCAACTGAGGGGACTTCCAGTGAGATGCCCATGGGCACTAGAAAATCTTTTTTTTTCTTTTCTTTTTTTAATATAAATACATGGATTTTTTATATCCACAGCAATGAATAAATGTGAAATTTGTACAGCATTCCAGAAATTATACATAAGCTTTAACAACATTGAGCCAAAGTACCTATTTGAATGTGGCATCTATATGTCACCCCTTCGAATACTGAAAGTTGGGTAAGGTCCTCAGTCCATTGCATTAAAGAATGTGAGTGCTTAACTGCTGGGAACCCATTTTGACTTCCATTTGTTCAATTCCATGAAGCAAGTGGCGTAAAATATTGTGTAAATCAGTGGATACTGAAGACTGTTCCAGCACAAAACTTACCAGTGTAATAACCTCTTCCCAAAAAGAAGTAATTAATGGACACTGGCAGAACATGTGTTCAACAAGCTTTGCCTGCACTGCACCACCAGCAGTTAGTTGTCTTGGACAATTACTTATTACAGAGACATTGGGATGTCCAGTAACATGCAACAAATGTTTTTGCTAAGCAAGACATGGCCTAAGATCTATAGATGCAAAAGCAGCGATCCAGTGGTTAGGCAAAATATGGCAGTGCCCTGAGCAGTTTTTCACATCCCCAAATGTATTCATCTGTCTACCACATGTTGGGACACTGGCGAGTGTTGGACTGGGGTTAGAAGACCCAAGTTTATAATGCCACTGAACTATGAAGCTTGCCAGGCGACTTTGGGCTAGTCGCTTACTCTCAGTCTAACCTACCTCACAGGATTGCTGTGAGGAAAACCTGGAGCAGAGGAAGAAAATGTAGATTATCTTGGGCTCTTTGAAAGAAAAAAGTTGGGATATAAATGGAATAATCAATCCATCAATATTACATGATTATATTATGTTGTATTTTACAATTCTTTGCCTCTGCACACCCACTTCTACTGCGTTCATTCGTAGTCGTTTGGAAACTGTAGCAACACAAGCTGGGTTCCAGGTCCAGAAGAGTGTGTGGAGACCCTCCTTACACAAAGAGTGTGCGTGGAGGAAGGTGCATTTACGTAGGAAGTAGGGGCATCTGCCTATTCCCAAATTATTGGGAGTTTCTGCAGACATGGAAAATGTGGACACAATCAGCCCATTTGACACAACTACTGCAACAGCTATATTCAGTGCTATCAGAGAAACTTTAGTTCAGCTGAGAGCAAAAATGTATAAACAAGCTGGACCACATAGTAAGGTCTTTGTTCTCTGAGTGCGAGACCAATGGGATTCAGTGGCAGGCAGTTCATCATGGCTTGCTGTCCGTGTTGCGCTGCCAAGACGTACTCCCTAGGGATGAATATTGCTATTCTTTTAGGTACAAAAGCTGACAATTCTGGCTGTTGAGCTATACCATGGCCACTGGCCAAAGCAGGCAAGAGCAGCTCAGAAATCTTCCAGACTCCTCTTCCCATAGTCAGCATATAGCCAAGTCTCTGCTTCACACACCACAAGCAGGAGTCAACCCCTTACCTTATAAACTCAGCAAAGAGAGATCCTCAATTGCTAACGCAGAGCAGACTGCTCAAGATACATTTTATACACCTGCTTTTTTCACATAGACTAATCTAAGTTCCCCGCAACTGTTACTTCCCCCCCACCTTCCCTCCATGAACTGCTATAATCCCCAAGGACTCATTATCCCTCTTTTCCAAAGTCTCATACATAAGGAGGAAAAGACCATACCATGCGCATGCGCTCATCTTCCAGGTTTCGAAGAACGGCAGCAAATTCCTGCAGTGATTTGGCTATGGAGGGAGGGAGGGTGGAAAGAGAAGGAGAATCACAGGTTTAGCTCATAGAGATTTATGCTGACTGTGAGCAGGACAGTTTTCATTATGCATGAAAAAGAGCAACCAAATTTGCTACTGTGTGTTCTGACCATTTTTTGTTTTCTTTTTTTAGACACAGTGGACAAATTCAACAGGATGTAGTCACCATGAGATTATAGTCTACACCAGTGCAATCTACTTTAGCACATCTTAATGATCCTGGATAAAGGTTACCTTAAACAATTGTATACAACTGCAAAGTCATGCAATTGGAAATCTCCAAAGCAACAAACTAAAGTGCAGTCACTTTATAAAATTTGGGTGACTGGGACTATGTATCAACTAATCAGCATGTGCTGAGTAATATCCTTTAAGAATATTTTAGGATTTTACTCACTATTTTTTATGTTGACGCTCTTTAAATATATGATCAACTTCTAATGAAGTACAGTAACTTATATTTTTCCGGGGTAATGCACATACTAGCAAACACATGCACAGAATAACATACCATCTTCCACACAAACCTTTTATATGCTGCGTAAATCATACTTTTACCCTTTCATTAGTTCCTACTCTGGCAGTTTTTAATGGAGATGTTCCATAAGCATATTGGTTAAAAGCTAAAGTAATTAGTGAATGCTTTTAATTCTTCAGTGTTCTTGATTTATTATTATATATTTTTATTTTTCACTTTGTTAACTTTATTTGAAACTTTATTTTGAAATAAAATTCCATGAGAAGTCATCTAGGTTAGCAATTGCACCCCTTTGGATACAACTCACAGATATTAACCATTTGTATCTGGATTTATTTAGTACTGGCACCTTTCAGGCAAAAAGATTTAATTTAAGAAGTCCCTCTCCTCAACAAGAATTTTTAACGTGAGCTCTTTACAGGCAAGATTTTAAGATATCTAGAGCCATTTTATTTTCAGGAAAAGGTCTTGGAAAAGTGATTTAAAATAAGCTTAGAGAGTCATTCGAAGCAATCACATGACAAGTAAAAACAGAAAATGACAAACCTCTAGTAAAGAGAGTCTAGATGGAAAAAAACAAACAAACAAAGGAAAGAGTTAACACCTACACCCCTCACACTAGCAGTGATGCAGCCTTGATTCAAATCAGAACTCAAGCACTTGCATTGGCCTTTAAGAAAAGCTGCGGCAAGCAGAATAATTTTCCACTGTCTTTTCTAGTTGCATATTTATTGAATTTCAGAAACAAGAATCTTCAATTTAGAAACTATTTAGAAACCCAGCCCAAGTGAAAAGGATTCTTGTACTAGAATGTGTATAATGTTCATCTGGTTTAATGCACAGTATTTCTTTTAATGTTCTGAACTTTCGGAAATTAATCATGTTAAATACATGGAATGCTTCCAGAATGGACAGCTCTGAGCACTGATAAATTATTGTTCTTCCACAGAAAACTGGAAGTGGAATTTCAATGGGCTTTTCATGCTATGGGGCTATTGTGCTGCTTCTGTCTGTGCAACCCACTCTGTTCTGCCCATCCTTGTGCTAGTCGAGGGAAGAAGAGCACTTGGGGGCTTATTGGAGAGCTGAACCTATCACAGCTCAGCACAACATGCTTTTCAGCGGGTGCCATTTTTCTCACCTCTTTTTGTCAACACTGTTCAGTTTTGTAATTGCTCTTTTAAGTATGCTAAATGTGTTTTCTGGCTATATTTTGAAATTAAGTAACAGCAAATTACCTTAAACAATAGTGTTTTTGTGAGCTTGGGTGGACTCCAGGGAATAGTGGAGGACAGGAAGGCCTGAAAGAATGTTGTCCATGGGGTCACGATGGGTCGGGCACGACTTCGCGACTAACAACAACAACAACGCTACACCAAAGATATAGATGTCTTTAAAGTAGCGAGGGTAGTAGCAGGGTAAGGTAGTGACTGAAAAGGTTTATTTGAATATTTTAAAATTAATGCTGTAACATTATTGCACTATATCCCGATATAATGCGTTAGTATATTTTCTTTAAAGTAGCATCACATGGGCATACTGCTATAACATTAGAATACTATGATGCCAATTTAAAAATATTAAAAATACTTTTCACAACAATCAGTTAGCCCTGCTGTCTATTTTTTTTCTGAAACCACACTGACCTAGTGGCCAACAGTTAATTCTGGCTCAGAACACAGGCAAACATTGTTCAATTCTAAGTTTAGATTTTCTAAACTTTTTTTTCTAAACACATTCTCTAAACTTTTAGGTATTTGTGCCACTAGTCTGCATTTTCAGACATGGAACTTCTCTTCAGCATCTATGAGCTCAAAACCCTAAAAAATCTAACTACCACCAACTTTGTTTAGCCCTAATCCATTTGTTTGGGCAACTAATCCTTCGACTGACCTCTGCAAAAGCAGACTAATCATGTACAGACACATACTGGCTGGTCTGCTATAGGTGGCATTTTTTGTGCTGAACATGCCTTTTCTTCCTATCTAAGCAACTGAAAATAAAACCCTATGGATTTCTGACATCTTCTGGAAGGCCATAGGATTCGTCAGAATCCAAGCTCCAAGACCCTGTGATCTCAGAGCTGGGGCTCCAAAGGCTGAACCTGGAACCCACACCCCTCCCAGCAAGACAGGCCAGCTGCTTCCACTCAGAGAGGACGAGGGGACTTGGAGAGAGCAAAAAGTGGCACGTCAGGAGATGGCAAGGGGAGATGGCTGGACTTGACAGCTTATACCTTTTCCTATTAGCATTCTAGGTTCCCTCCATCCCTCCCCATACCCAGTACTTTGTCTAGTTCACCCATCACAGCCATCTAGATAAAATGAAGGCTGTGAGGAGGAGCAGAGTCTCATAAGCCTCCAAGTTCAGGGGCCTATATTTATCCGCCATGGAGGCAACTGGACTAGTGACCTGAATTAGCTAATATGTGTCAAGTGTAAACTAGGCTACCAATGCCTACCCACTTACCTATACATATTTCATCATCTGTCTCTGCATCGCCTATACATCGAAATTTGAAATCATTCAAGGAATCTGCAAACTTCCGCTTTGCTGAAGACAGATCTGCCAAAAAAAAAGGGAGGGGGGAGGAAGGATTTGTGCATGAGACAACAAGCCACAAACTGTCAGAATACAATTTTCTGCTAGCTTTAAACTAATCTCCTTCATCTCAGTTGAAAATTCTAAAGGCTGCATAGAAAGAGAAAATGCTGGTTCAGGAATAAACTGCAATGAGTAATCTTCACAGGACTAGGAAGGTGTAAGACCTGCCCCTTTACAAAGAAAAACAGAAACTGTAAAAACTACATTACTGGCATATCTATAGCATTCTGGTTGCAGATGTGCCAATCACAACTGCAAAACTGTTCATTGTCCAAAGCTTCATCTCCTTACTTATAAAATATGTTACTTTGTGTCTATGAAATTTAAAGTGGTGAGGTGTTAAAATTCAGGTTGTGTTTGGACCTAAAAACAAGCCAGAAAGTCTGCAAATTCCAATTTATTATTCCACCATACGCAGACACACCACAAGATTGTCCTACTTGGTTTCTCCCAGCAGCTAGAGAGGCTGAACTAATTAGGGAGCAAAAACTTTCCATTACATCTGCACATGGACTCTCCCAACAAATCAGAGTCTAAAGCTAGGGTTTGGTTTGGAATCAATTTCCCATTCCTGGTTTGTTAGGGAAACAACAAGCCAGAATCTCGGTCCAAACAGAACAAGAAGCTTTTGCTTCCTTATCAGTTTCTGGACAATTAAGTCGTTCTTCTAGTGGGAAGACTGAATTGGTGCAACCTTCCACAATCCTAGTTTATCACTGACGCAACATGCAGCTTGCATCTTCAAATCTAACAATTCTTTTATGGCTCTTATAAGCATCCTAATTTATATTTTATACTTGCTACCTGCTTTACTGGAATGGCACATCAATATACAATAATATTCATAGATAGTATCCGTTTCTGTTAGCAAAGACAGCTATCTATATTAGGCTTTGCTAAGGTCTAAGGTTGCTTTATACGCATATTTACAAGTCCTGCTAAATTCAGTGAAATATGCTTCCATGTGTCTAATTGATTATCAGATTCTTATCAATTATTAACTAGATATTTAGTTATTGAACTGTCGGATTGCACACAGGACCTTGCAGATTTTATCTCTGTCAAGCACGTGGAACATTTTAGGCATTTCATAAATAATATTTATCATTTATAAAGCAATGCTTTGAACATATGGTACTAATTGAGATTTGTAACAACCCACTAGGAGGGAATTCTAGCTTTATTCCAAGACATTCCTAACCCAATATAAATATTGAGACAGGTCTGAAAATATTCTGCGAATATCAGTGTTTAATCCAGCTGCATAGGATTCTGTAGTCTGTCTCCCTTTTGCGCACACCCTCACCTCTACGGCCCAAAAACTACCTTGCTGCCAATCAAGGAACACAATGCTAATATCCCCCATTAATTTGGCTTCTAGCAACAGAAAATGCTCTCATCTGCATAGTACAGATACACATTCTCAATAACAGGCGCTGCCTGATGCACCAAGCGAGACACTGGGCTTAGGATGTTGAACTAAGTCTGGCCTTGAAGGGTCCATCTACCCCAGCACCACCAACACAGACTGGCTGGTAGCAGCTTCCCAGGTTACAAGCTAGGCTTTTTGCAGCCCAATCAGGGATTAAATCTGGGACCTTCCGCATGTAAAGGAACGCTTGCGTCCATATATGCCCTCCCACCCCTTGAGATCAGCAACAGATGCCCTTCTCTGGGAACCCTCTGTGAATGATATTAGGGGGGTGAGTACCCAAAGGAGGGCCTTCTCTGCGGTGGTGCCCCACCTATGGAATGCGCTCCGCAGAGAGGTCCGCCTGGTGCCGCCGTCATTTGTTTTTCGGCGCCACGCTAAGACCTTTTTATTTAAAACTTAAGTGTTAATTTATTGGTTATCTGTAGGATTTTAAATTTTTTTTAAGCTGAGATACACCAGGTTTTAATATTTTTATTGTATAATTTGGCTCTTGCTGTGAGCCGTCCCGAGGCTTTGTTGGGATGGGGGCAGCATAGAAATGATTTAAATAAATAAATAAATAAATAAATAAATTAATAAAGTGTCCTACCACTGAGCCCCAGTCTCTCCCACCAAGGAGGACAAACAGGAAGCATTTAAACAGGTCAGGATGATTTCATATTAAAGGATTGTTAAGATTCCCAGATCCACAGTCAGAACAAAGCTCTGAGCTCAGCAGTGGGAAACCCAGTCCAGATGGCTCTTCCTCTGCTCAGACTTGGCATGGTGAGAACCTCACTGACAGCATTTGCAAGATATGACAGTGGAGCAGGGGTTCAGGGAGTGTTCCATCACCTCGATCAAGTCCCCAGGATGCAACGTATCCTGGCAGCATTACAACCTCCTTTCCTCACTTGCTGACTTGCAGGGCAGGAGGCAGCCACGCCCCCACTGCCCTGCACAGGATACCCACAATCCTCTGAGTTAAGGTGGTTGCAGGCAGCCCTGTTGCCTGGGCCTGAAGTGTCGCATTTAAAAAATAAGCAAATTCGGATTCCCTTCAGAACCAGGGTTAGCCCAAGCACACAAGTCTACATAACTAGCCTTTTAAAACTGCATCCCTGATATCTTAAAACTCAGTCTTTGAAGCAGTCTAAATTAGCTGCTGTTCAATATGGGAGAATTAGGAAAAATATCCAAATGAAAGCATTATATATGATACATCCGCCTTTGGGAATTTGCTGCCATTGACTATCCCATTAAAAGTACTTGGTTCACAATCACAATCTTCATATTCATAGAGCAGAACTGCTATAATATTTGATTGCCCTGGGAAAATATACTGTTTTAACTTATGATCTGTGCTTTCATGTGGAACAGCACAAGTCAGTGTTGTCTGCATAAAGAAGGGAATTACTGGTGTTAGGGGTGGGGAAGAAAGCACAGTAAAGCAGGCAGCACTGACTTAACTTGGACAGAACAGGTTGTTGTTATTTTCCCGAATACTGTTACGGGGGTCTTTTCAACAATGAAAGTCAAATAGTTCACACGTCCTGCATGACCCTAGTTTGATAAGGACAAGAGTGTTCTTTTGATATCCCTATCGAAATGTCACACGGTTCTCAGAAAGGCTTCTGGGAAAAAAGACTTCAACAACACGCAGATCACAAACACCAGACACCTATGGAAATAGACAGATAACTCCAGCCTTCACCCTGCACACATATAGTTGCTGCTATCTAACATGCCCTGCTTCCTTAATATATATGAGCTACACTACATTCCATTATCATGATGCTTGCAAATTAGCATTCATAGCATTATTTCAGTCTATGTTATTTGAGAAATGCAAATAAATTAATATTGGCCTGATATATTAAAAATAAGACATTGACAACTTAATTTTCTTAAGACATAGCAAGAACCCTGCTGTATTGGACCAAGGGTCCATCTAGCCCAGCATCCTGTTTACTGAATGGCCAAACAGCTGCCCACAGGAAAATCACAAGAAGGGCATCAGTGCAATCGCACCCTCGTGCCCCAGTTCCCTAGCAACTGGTGTATGCAGGCATATGATGCCCCAGGAAGGTATGAAAATGCAGAACAGCAGCTCCGGAGCGAAAATTGAGCTGCAAACACAAACAGCTGCAGCAATGTTGGGTTTGAGACACAAGCGCATCATCATATTCTGCCATTAGGTTTTCCATCTCAGTAATTGTTTGTTGACTCTGGAGAAAAAACATGCTAATTGTAGTAGAAAAAGGGACAGCTGCCTTATCTGTCCAAGATGACTAACTTTCATTTCAAGTCCTACATATAATTCTCCGAAAAGACAACCTGAGAGTGAAATCTTGAAATGGCTCTTTGTGTGTGTTTTTCCCCTTCAGAAAGCGTAATTATCAGGGAGAAATTCAGAGTGGTAAAATATGTCTTCATTAAAGTAATAGCTATAGACTAGATAGCGCTTAGGAAAGTATGAGCAATTCATTACAGTTTTTTCCCAATCATGGTGCACCCCATCCACACTTCCAGACTGATCATGGACTCAAATGCAATTGCAGTTGAAGTTCCTACATTTCCCAGCTTTCAGTGTACTTTCTGGACCACACATGTGTACATTCAAAAATATGCACCAAAAAGTATACTCTAAAATGTGAATACAAACACTCTTTATTGAGAGAAGAATGTGCCAACTTCAAAGATAAACCCTGATGTGTACATTTGGGAAAACATGCACAAAACAAGGATTAATTTTCATTTTTAAAAGTTTGTAACCTGATAGGGACACAAGAAAGAACAAGTTTCAAGGTGAGATTTAAGAATTTTAAGAAGCTAAGGTTGTGCTTGTACACACATACCTAGTTAGTGGTTAGAAAACTCTCTTCAGCATGATTCAGAATTGGATTCATTATGCCAAGTTATCACCCACTCATACACAAAATCTTGGGTTTTGCATCACAAGTTCAAGTATGGATTTCAGGACCTATCATAGACCATTATATTTATTCGTTTTTTTAAACCTTCCAATAGCCAAAGTTCTCTGAGTGGTGTACAGTTAAAGCAAAAAATAAAAACAGTGCAAAACAGAATCAGAATAAAACTAGCAATGAACAATGTCGTCATTGCAACTCCATAAAACTAAATTAAGGCCAGCCGCAGAATGGAGTTCTTAAAGGCATGAAAATGGCATCAGTTCCAGCAAGTTCAAAAACTCACCCCTCAGCCCCTTTGTACTCAACTTACCTGAGAATGGTGAAAATAAGAACCTGCTGACAGAGCCTGCGCCCCAAATGGGGAGGTCCCATTGCACCCCGAAGAATGCCAGGGCAGTGCTGCAGGCACCAAGGTCACTGGGAAGCACAATTTTCCAAAATGCCTAAGCCTTAGAATGGACATTAAGCACCTTCCTTGTTCATGAATTGCTACTTTTTAGCTTAGAAAAAAGTGACCACAAGAGGAAATGGTAAAGAAGTATAAAATTATGTATGCATGGCATGGATGGCGTGGATGCTGAGGTTTTTTTCCTTCTTATAAAACACTGGACCCA